GGGAATTTTGCAATTGGGTTTGGTGAGTTTGTTACTCACTTTGCAGGTCGGACGTGTTCAAAAAGGCTATAAAACATGGCTTCTCTGTTGAGGAGTTTTTCGGGCATGTGGGAGGCAACAAAGAGCACCTCTATTTGGAAGAAATCAACGAGGATGGGAAGTAGTCCAGGTTCCGATCAATGAACTGTTTGTTGGTGTCGTTTGTTTGAAGGTAGCAATTGTCATCAAAACATGGTTCCCAATAACGAGTGGCGACCAGCGATGCCGATGGGTTGTCTTCACCTTGGTACTGTAAATGGTGAATAATTGTCATCAAAACATGGCTCCAAAGAACGAGTGGCGACCGGCGATGGCGATGGCGATGGCGATGGATTGTCTTCACCTTTGGTACTGTAAATGCCGATGGGGTTTCTATTTGGGGATTAGGGTTGAACTGGCAGATTGGGTTTCAAATTGGTGTTCTGAGGAAGTTTGGATTTCAAAAAAATTGGGAAGCCAATTGGATTTCGGCGAAACTCCTCATCGTCGCTCCGCTGCTGGTGCGCTGTGATTGTTCCCGGAGATGAGGAGAGCAATACAGACCTTGACCTTGATCGTATTCGTCGTTTGGGGATGCGGTGGCGCCACTCCAGGAGAGCGGTGTGGGTAGGTGTGGTGGCGGCAAGGGACGCTGAGTTACGGCGGTGGAGGCCGACGACCTCTGCGCTGCCCGGCCGGTAGTGTTGTAATGTGTATAATTTATATAATATACTGAGTATATAATTAAAGCACCAAAACACTCTCGTTTCACCAGAGGGTAATTTTGTAATCTTATTTTTCCGGTGCCAGAGACTTGACTGTTGTTCTTAAAGGTAACTTTTTAATAGTTTAGGGAGACATTTATTAATTAAGAGAGTTTTGTGCAATTGTTAGTTCAGGATGATTTTTTTACACTTTACCCAAAATATTATAATTCGATAGTGCTTTAACAATAGAATGATTTACCGTCACGTTCATGAATGGTTCAGAACATTATAAAGATTTTTATGTTTGGATGGTTGGGGATGTGATTCAGGGTTGGAATTCATATAAAGATAATAATATGTACGTGTGTTTCTTGGCTGTAGAACAGTAGAAAGTTATTGAAATCAGGATTTTATTTTATTTTATGATTTTTAAGAAAGTTATTTAACTTCATCTTCTTTAATGTTGGTATAGAATTGTCCAACATTAGTACTAGTGCTCGTGTTGACCCCACATTAGCTGTAGCCTTTAGGGCCTTACAATATCAATACCCACGAAAACTTAGATCCATTAATTATGGGAAACAAATGAAAAAGTCAGACCCATTACCACTATATATATATATATATATATATAGTAGTTTAGGATATTGTTATGCCAAAAAATTAGGGCCACCAAATTATATATTTTGAGCCCTCGTGTTCCTAACATTCTTTTAGAATTATTAGATATATAAATCTAATGCATTAGGTAAATCTACTTGAGAAGTCAAATATCTAATTTCATGATACAATTTTCACATATACCTATATCTACTATCTAATTATATATATATAGTTAGTAGTTTAGGATATTGTTATGCCAAAAAATTAGGGCCACCAAATTATATATTTTGAGCCCTCGTGTTCCTAACATTCTTTTAGAATTATTAGATATATAAATCTAATGCATTAGATTAATCTACTTGAGAGGTCAAATATCTAATTTTATGATACAATTCTCACATATACCTATATCTACTATCTAATTGTATTTCAGTGATTAGCTCTATAAATAAGCATTTACTTCTGAAAACAAAAATGTCTATATCTTTTGACCCGAATGACAATGAGCTGTCTATAATAGTATATAGTAGGAGTGGTAATTCTTGTTGGATATAAAAATATTATATTAAATAAGTAAATTCAAATTTAATTCATTTAATAATCGTATCAAGAATTATCAACATTAATCTAACCTGTTTATTAAATAGGTAAACATGTTAACCCGTTTAATGATCTATTTATCAAAATGAGACATTTAATATTTAATCAAATACTAAATAATAATAAAAAAATTGTCATAATTAACCCAAATATTCAAAAAAAAAATCATAAGGTATAGACAAGGTTTATGTTGAAATGATTTAACTATCTATAGTAATTGGGTTTAAACAGGTAACATATTATATAGGTCATATTCATGATTATAATATGTTGAGTTAAATGGGTTATAAACAGGTTACACGGGTTGAACTCCTCAACCCTAACCCTAACCCTAACCAGACACGGTTAAGTAAATGGGTTAATCGTGTCGACCTTTTTATGATCCAAACCTGTTTATGACAAATTCAAACCCTGTTAAATCATGTCGTGTTGTCTTATCGTGTCGCAATTTGTCACCCCTAATATGTAGGAGGAGAACATGGTGTTTTTTAAGCTACGACATGCATAATGCATTGTAGTTATTGTTGCGGGTATTTTTAAGCTACAACATGCATTGTTGTTATTACTGTTACTATTTTATTCAAGAATTTATGATTTTTGGGACATAGTAAAATTTATAATTAAGAAAGGGGGTAATTACTTGGTAAAATGATAAAAACTCAAACTAAAAAGTATTTTCCCGAATTAAATTCAGAACAATCACTTTAATAAAAGTTGCGTCTCTCTTTAATGTTTACTTCTCTATTTCACATTGACAAAATTATGTTTGTTTATGAGTCCCGTAATATGATTGTTATTTTGCCTATAATAAAATAAAATATGATTGTTATTTTTACCATTCGTTGTGATATGATAGTTGGTTGGTTATTTGAAATATTTGTAGATTTGTGACAAGAAACTTTGCTTGGTAAATCAACATTCCCTATGTTTTGAGACCTAACTTTGTCAACTTTTAGATTCTTGTTTACCGTTTTAGTCCATAGAGTTCCACACTTTTGTCTAATTTTGGATTGATTGAACCGACAAATTACCCCGAAGTCAACCCACCTACGTTTTGCCATGCCATGCCCTGCCATAAAGTGGTAGTAATATGTAATAATAGGTGCAATTGACATGGTCTCTCTCTCTCTCTCTCACACACACAACACACAACACACAACACACAACACTCTCTCTCTCTCTCTCACACAACCACTTTTAGACCATCCACTACAACCTACTTGTTCATAACTTCAAGGCCTAGTAACTTCAACAAATATATAATTGAAGGGCGAGGGCCACCTTCCGTTTTTGTTTTTCTTATACGTTCTTTTATGTAACGTTTCATTCACACACGACATCCGAAAAGTAATATATTGTAACATATATATATACACCTATATTTTATATAATATTCTGTAACATGTTCCTCAAGTGTGGACCTTTTTTTTAAGTGCAATTCGTTATTTCATTTCAATTATTAGAAAATGTGATTTAAACTCGACATCTTTTAATTATAATATCATAATAGAGCACACCAAGCTTCACTCACAAAGGCTAAAAGCAAGTGGTAGAAAATAATACACATAAAGTCAAATACACATGTACATATATTGACAGAAAGGTTCTTAGGAGGTCTAAAATAAAGGACTTTTTAATGGATCTAATTTAGTTGCACATTATCACTTTATCAGAATTAACTATAGTAAATAATATTAACTTTAACACCGTCACAGCCACCATCTTCATCATTACATTCACAACACAATTATCATATTCACTCCCCAAAATCAAATTCCAAAACTACCAAATCCCAGTCACTATCTCTTTCTCTCTCTTCTTTCGGTACTTTGAATTTTTTTTTTTTTTTTTTTTCGCTCTTGTAATTTTTTTCTTTTCAATTTAAAGGGATTGTTTAACTTTTGCGCTTCATGTTAACCAATATCTTTCCTTGGCATAGTCGTGCAGTCTGCAACGCTTTTACAGTCCATGAAAAGAGTTGATATTGGGTTTTTTTTATTTTACCTAGTGATTCTGTATTTTCCTCAAGTGAAAAGAAGCAAGAGAGTATAAATAAAGGTTGCATGAAAGATATATAAAGATTGCATATATAATAGCTAAGATTGCACGAAAAATAGATAAAGGTTGCACTTGTCATAGTTAAAGATTACACGTGTCATAGAAAAAGATTAGTGCAACATTTCCCTACTTTTTGTGTAACCTTGGTTACGATATGTGCAACTTTTCTCTATTTTTTGTTTTTTCATACAACCTTTGAGAGTTAGTTGACCATCATACAACCTACAGCAGGGGTAGTCTACTGGGATTACAGGAATAATCTATTAGGTACTATTTAATATTTTTAATTATGATTAATTCTGTTAAAGTATAACTAAATTAAGTCCGTTGAAAAGTTTTTTCATTTTAACAGCCTGATAGTCTTCCTGTGTATATAGATATGTTGTGTCTCGGATTTTTAATATCACGAGGGAGGGCCACAAGAATTAGACAGGTGAAGGTTCCGGCCTTTGAATTCATTTGAATTGGAGGTAACCCAAGAGACAAATAAACATTTCACATCTGATGTTTGTCCAAGCACCGCCCAAATATATGATTGCATGGTCTTCCCATCAATTATAACATCAAAAGATTCCTTTTTATTTCTTTACTACATTTTTTTTTGGTGTTATTATTAATTAATGTGTATTTAAACAGTCCGTACTACGATAATCACATTTAAGATTAATGTACAAAATTCCAACAAAATAAATTAATGCCACAAAAAAAATAAACTTAAAAAATTGCAAGTTAGTGTCATAATAATATTATCATCTTGTCACCAAAATAATGATGTCCAGTCGGTCAATGTTCTATTTCGTTTCTGCTTTGACTTATATGAGGAGCAATTACATTGACTTCCTCTTTAATTAAGTGAAATTACAAAAACCTCTCCCTTGTATTTTAAAATTACAATTGACATTCTCTGTTAAACTATTTGGTGGACGGCATTAACGGAAAATTTGATTGTACCAATTTGGCTTCACGTTTAAAAATAAATTTTACTTGTATTTACACATATTTTAAATGGCATTGTACTGAAATAGTTTGCTAATACAAGCAACTTTTAATATTAATCAACTTTGAATCCTTGATACAAAGAATTCCATCAGATTTACAGAAATTCAAACACGATGCTATTCAGGGAACTAATTACAGAAATTTTACAGCTTCCTATTCTCTCTGTCCTTGTTTTTTTTCATCATTGTATAGTTTGTCTGTGTTCATATTGTAGCTAAAAATGAATGTAGTATGTATCTCTGGTAAGTGGGAGGTTGCTGCTTCTGCTAGAGCTGGGTTGAGTCAGCTGCCAACGACGGCTAAGCTTGAGATCTCAGTAGCACTTGAATGCGTGCTGGTATAGTCTGATCAAACTGAACGCTCTGTGGGTTCTCTGCATAAGCCACATAGTAAGCTGAAACACAAGCTTGTGGCCATGCCATGGCGACCCGGCACTGCAGTTCAGCCATCAGAATTCAAGTTAGTAATTGAATGTATAGATTTGTAAACACACACACACACACACACACAGACACACACTTATGTAAACACATGTTCTTACCATGAAATAGCCTATTAAGAATGCATAAATTGACACTTCCGTTGCATATCCCTTATAAACCACTAGTGCCCATGAACCACCCACTAGTGTACATATTGCACCACCTGCCACTCCACACAGGAAGCAGAATGAACTGGTGAGGTCTGAGTCTATCAATGGTTCCAACCCAGCTCTTTTGAACGTCTCCCAAGTATCAATCGATGCCTGCACAAACCCTTTTTTGTAAACCCCTAGATGGACAAAACCCCACCTATTCCCATATGTTATCAGTCTTGAAGCAACTCCTGAGTAGCAATTAGTACATGAGAACATGAACTCATCTGCATCCCCTGAAATCAGACTTGTGGCCTGGGCTGAACCATGGATGACCCCAAGGACCGGTACGAGTACTGAGCCAATGCAGATGCTCCCAATTGAGTGCTTAAACGTGTCATGGAGAGCCATGCTCGTGTCAAGATCCGCCCCACACGAGAAATGCATGTATTTGACATGAGAGATTGTTACTTGCAGTGTGTTCTTGATCACTTGCATTGTCCATGCTAGGCTTAGCAGAATCACCAAGATGAACATGGTGTCTAAGGTAGTACCGGTGGCAGTGGCTCCTCCAATGCCGGAATGAGATATTCAACTTCAAACCCACATATTATATTACTTAAACTCTTTCTTATCTTCTTAAACACATTACGTATACGTATATATTATATATATTTATAGATATATATTATACTGCTGACAGAGTCCTACATATCATAATACAAATTCTTTCGAAGACTAATCTGGCAAAAAAATAATAATAGAGGAACTAATCCAAATTTTCACGTGCCTTTGGGCGTGAGAGTTGGTATTTGGATGACGTGGCGTGATGAATGTGGACGATAGAAGTGGTGAAGTGAGGAGAAGGGTGTTCTATAACTGTATGGTGCTCGTGAGTTAGTTGGAATTTTCCCGGGAAATGCGTTTGGTCGTTAAATAAAGAGAAGTAAAAAGTAGTCGTTGTTTCCTTTTTGTGTGTAATAAGAGGCGGTGTGTGTTTGTTTTAATTGTTTTGTTCACCTGCTAACGAATTAACTGAAACTGAATTTAATTTTTCATTTTATTTGAAGAGCAGAAATAGGAGTTGCGCAAATACGTTTTATAGGTGGGATGGGGGTGGTTCTGTCCAAATCGCCTCTATAATCAAGTTGCTTTGATCTTTTAACCTTTATTTATTTGTACACGTGCTTGCACGTGAGTAAAAATTGAATTTGAAACAAAATTATAAATTATTCTTTAAAATCTTAAAGTTTAATTTATTGATAAACAATAATCCACTTAAATTTTATTTATTAAACATTTTTTATTATAATAGTTTTTAATACAAGTAAACAACAATGGAAAAAACTATCGAAGTATGTTTTTTGTATTGATTTTTCACAGATGAAAATTATTTTTATAATTATACTATTTTTTATTAAATTTTAGGAATTGAAGGAGAATTGTTTTTATTATTAGAATAAATTATTTTGTAAGGCATATCTAAAATATATTTATTATTAATTTTTATTTTTATTTTTAAATCTTAATTGTAGAAATAAGAGAGCGGAGGAGATGTACATTTTTTCTTCTTCTGAATTTTAGGAATAGAGGAAGAGTGGTGGAGACTAACTGTGTGTAAAATATTTTCAGTTTTATTTTTATTTTCTAAAAAATTTTAGTAGCACAAATTCTAGTAATAGAAGGGAGTAACGAAAATTATTAATATATTTTGTGAATTGATGTAAATTATTTTTATTATTATATGCAAGTTAGTAGTACAATATTTATCTTTGTATCAAGTTGGATAAAGTGATTATAAATATATATTTATAAGAGTTCAATTTTATTATTATTTTTTATTAATACATTTTATAAACAACAATCAAGTAGAATTAATAATAAAATAATTGTGATCCAAAACTAAAATAAACAATAATCAATAGAAATAATGTAGCTTCTATATGTAAAAAATAGATGTGATCCAAAACTAAACAAAACAATAATAATTTATCAAGTTGCTAATCAATTACACAAATCACATTGAAAAGGGATAAGAGAAATTAAAATTTTAAAGAAAAAAAATCTAGTTACTTAAATTTTTTAATTTGTTGTCAAGTTTCTAATCAATTAACTTTTAAATTTTTTTTTTTTAATCTCAAAATAGAGAAAAGGTTGCTAATCAATTATTGAAAAAAATAAAAAAAGAGAAGGAATTGAAAAAATTCATAACAAAGAAAATGTAACATACTGATTTATATATATATATATATATATATATATATATATATATATATATATATATAAACAAATCACAACTTTGTATGGAATAGCATAGAAAAGGTTGCATAAATCTAATTAAAAATCATAACTTTGCACTTACAATTTTTTATTATTCTCTCTCATTATTCTTCTTCCTCTTGATTCTTCTTCAGCTGCAAACCCTATCAGCAAAACAATAGCAACTCTATAAACAAAATAGAGAATATGAATTAAAAATAAGAGAAATAAAAAGTTAAAAAATTCAAGTTACATATAAATATAAAATACTTCCATGATACTTCTGAAAAAATAAAAAAATATATTTGCAAGATCAAACATTAAACAAAGAATAAAAAATAAAATCGTTTCATAGTGTTTATGAGAAAATAAAAATAAAAACTAAAGAAGAAAAACATAACCCTGTAAAAATATAAAATACTTCCATGATACTTCTGAAAAAATAAAAAATATATTTGCAAGATTAAACTTTAAACAAAGAATAAAAAAAAAAACAGTTTCGAGTGTTTATGAGAATATAATAATAATAACTAAAGAAGAAAAGCATAATCCTAATGAACGGATCATATGATGCACGATTGCCGCATGCTAAGAGAAAAATGAACACCAATTACAAAGAAAAATGATGGGTATAGTAGAGGTAAAATACAGAATAAAAAATAAATAAAATACTTTCATGATACTTTTGAAATAATAAAAACTAAATCACAATGCAAACTAAATTTACAAGATTAATCAATGTTGTCACCAACCAAACATATAACACACCATAAAAAAATAAAGAGTAGTGATATTCATACCGAACACTTGCAATGAATTGCTTAAGCGAATAATTTTTAATTGACTATTTATACCAAATACAAATAAGTAGAAGGCTCCACTTCCTTATTTGTTGCATAATTGACCAATTAAAAAAGGGACTTGGATCTCTAAGTTAAATATTCATTAAGTTATCTTAAGTTGAATTTATTACAGATTGATATAAGACATTTAAAATATATCTACTGCTACTGTTAAACTGTGTCAACTAATCTAAAGAAAGTTTGAAAATTGTACCGTTCGTTTTGAGATAAGAAAAATTTACCAGAATTTAAAAATTGTACCGTTTTGAATTAAGAAAAATTCACCATACTCTAACTACGCTGTTATTTCTAGAAAAAAATCCTCCCTCTCTTTCCTTTTTATTCATATCTTAAACAAGTGGCGGTGGTTTCTGTTTCTCTCTTAACCTGACCTCTCTCATATTTTCTATATATAGGGCTTTTGGTTGTATTTTCCTAACTCCATCAATATCTATCTACATATCTGTGGTAATGAGCAAGAAAAGATCCATCAATATCTATCCACATGTACGTGGGAATGAGCAAGAAAAGATGAGGGAGAGATAAGGACGTTAAACATTGTTAGAGTAACATCAGCACTAGATAGATTTTAATTATTACGTGTCAATTTGTAGCGAATTCAACTTAGGATAACTTAGAGAATATCTAAGTCCTTAAAAGAGTGCAACTATTCCGAGCAAGAATCATTTTCAAAAAATAAAATACTTTCATGATGCTTCTGAGAAAATAAGAATAAAAACTAATAATACTATCTAACTTACCCGATCAAGCACCTAGCCACTTGTGAGAAAAAAAATCTAAACACTAATTACAAAGAGAAAAGGGGTAAATATAGTAGATGTAAAAGTAAAATATATAATAAAAAACTAATTTCTTCTTTCCAATTATATTTCCTTATTCCATATGAATTTTAATAATAGAATTTTGAATTCAAGTATATTCTATCTCTAGACGTTTTAATTAATTAATTTATTCTGCATTTTAGTATTCTTTTATAATTCTATTTATTCTTTCCAATTTTATTATTTTTAATTACTTAATTCCATTACTTATTTTGAGTTTTGAATTCAAGTATATTCTATTTATAGATTTTTTAATCAACTAATTAATTTATTTATTATGCATCTTAGTATTCTTTTATAATACTATTACTTCTTTCCAATTTTATTTCCTTAATCCATACGAGTTCTAACAATAGCTTTTGAATTCAAGTATATTCTATGTATTCTGTGTCTATATTCTACGTATTCTTGTGTCTAGACTTTTGTATTTTTTCATAATACGGAGTATTATATATTTCAATACGTAAATAGAAGAATTATTTCCCTTAACTCTTACCAAACATGAATTATTTTCTAATTAGATTTCTTCCTACTGAAATTAAAATTAGTAGAAGAATTTTTACCAAACATGTATTTTTTATAAACAATTACCTATTTTATTAAAATTAGTAAAGATATAGTAGACGTAAAAATAAAATATATAATAAAAAATCAATTTCTTCTTTCTAGTTGTATTTCCTTATTCAATACGAATTTTAAGAATTTAATTTTGAATTCTATATTCTATCTATAGACGTTTTAATTAATTTATTTATACTGCATTTTAGTATTCTTTTATAATTCTATTTATTTTTTCCAATATCCAGTGCACACTGAATTTTAATTATTTATATTGCACACTGATATTGGGATTTTTTTATTCTTAAAATTAATTTATTTATACTACATTTTAGTATTCTTTTATAATTTCATTTATTTTAATTAATTCTATGTTATTATTCCAAAAAATTAAGGTAATTTTTTGTTACCACACCCCATGGGAGTTGAACCTTGAAATACCATTAGGTTACAGTCTTTAGAAAAAATTTAATGAGTTGAGAGAAATATGTGTATACCCACAATAAATAAATAGATACTCGTATATATCTATATAAAGGAAATTACTCAAAAATAAATTGGAACTTCCTGTGCCAACTTGCTCTACCTCGTTTTGATTTGCAAGGTTTCAAAAATTTACAAAGAGAGAAAATCGAAGAGAGAAAATGTTTTAGTTTATGTCTTTTACTTTAACGCATAAAGAATTTGGATGACTTAACATAACCACATCAGTTTCGGATGAAAAATTGGACAAAATAATCTGACAATATGTTATTATTATTTTTTGACCACACCCATGGGAGTTGAACCTTAAATATTATTAGGTTACACTTCAGTCTTTTGAAAAAATTTGATGAGTTAGGAAAAATATGTGTATACCCACAATAAATAGATAAATATGTATTTATATAAAGGAAAGTACTCAAAAATAAAATAAAATAAAGAAATGCAATGATGCAATCCTCCGAAAGAGCTACCCTCAAGGAATTTCTCAACACAATTGGCTAGTATTTATGAAAAATGGACTCAAACAATAAAAAAAAAAAATGCAGAAATTCATATAACATCATTTATATATAAAAAAAAATACTGTATTGAATAGTTAGTAACACTTGAACTCGTACATTTTAAGTAACACACTATTCAATATTAGATATTGGATCGAAAAACACACACTAATCGCCTTCGGTGCAAGCTCATGTGAAATTCTTCATAGTTAAGGGGTGTTTATGTAAGTAACATTTATCATCATGATCATCACCATCATTATTATTATATATTATGGTTTATAAAGCTTTAGTGCCATTGGCTTCCTATTGGAGTTTGATCTCTTTTTATAACTCAATGCTGCAAAGAACTTAAGCTTTTTCCCTGCTTCTACAACTATTTATATTAGAAGAATTTAATTTTAGGTTATTCCTACCATGTTGGTTGCAACAGTTAGGTCTACTCCAGAATGGTTTGGTGTAGGTCATGTAATGAAAACAATCCAGCGGTATACCACGATCACATATGTGAGTGCATTCCATTTCAGGAAACTATATTTTCTTCTTC